TTACTAATTTACCTACTGAGGCATATTAGAAGAGTAATTTCCACTGCCTAAGAATGAATCTTGATTTATAAAAAAGATTTTATTTATTTATTTGAGAGAGAGCGAGCGAGAGACCAGCGCGGGGAGGGGCAGAGGGAGAGTGAGAAGCAGACCCCCCCACTGAGCAGGGAGCCCGAAGCTGGGCTCCATCCTGGGACTCCCAGGTCATGACCTGAGCCGAAGGCAGACACTTAAATAACTGAGCCACCCAGGTGCCCCTTGATTTTTCTTTATATTAAAGAAAACAGTTTTGAAAAGAAGAAATTCCACTTGATTCTCTTCTTATGTAGGACCTCTGCATTTTATAATATATCTGTTATATACTACATAAAGTATGGTATGTATTATTATGTAGTAGCTTACACGTACATGTTGAGAAAGCTAGTAATTCTATTTCTGTATTTATTTTTGGCCTCCTATGTAGCGAAAACTTTGAGTATGCTTTGGATTTATTTTGGTTTTGCTCTTATATGACTTTAGGTATATCGCAAGTTAATAGACTTCCTGTTACAGTTTGAATTACTTACTGTTGATGTGAAGGTTTTGTTTGGCTTTTCTTTAGGAAGGTCTATAATTCAGATTAGGGAATGATTCTCCATTATGAATATCAGCATGACTGCAGTCTCAGGTGGACACTTTGTAGTATCACGTCTGTTATTGCTCAGGAAAAATGCTGTTATAGATTGTAGTTGGCTGGATTTTATTTCTCAGTCTGAGATATCAAATGTTACATTTATTTTTGCAGTCTAAAAACAGCAGTTCCTTCTTAGGCTTATTTGAGGGCTCCCATTTACCTACCCTTTAAATACTGGGGTTCCTTTGGGTTCTCTTTTCTTCCTTTCTTTTTTTTTTTCTCTAAGTAGGCTCCACACCCAGCGTGGAGTCCAACACGGGGCTTAGAAATCACGACCCTGAGATCAAGACCTGCGCTGAGATCAAAAGTCAGATGCTTAACTGACTGAGCTACCCAGGCGCCCCTGGGTTCTTTTTTCTGATTCCTTTCTTTCTGCTTCTCATTTCCCTTCCTTAGATGAGTAACAGTGACTGAGCTCTTACTGTGTATCAGGACAGGGTCGTGCTGTACAGCTGAGCAGGTTGTGTACTGCACAATTCCAGGAGGTGACGTTCACTGACCAACCCCAAAGACTTGGGTAGTGTCATCAGGCACTGCGCTAGCTACTTTACAAACCTCTTGTTTATCTTTACAACAACCTATGAGATGAATATCATTATCCCTATTTCATAGACGAGAAAACTGAGTTTGGGGTATGTTAAAACTTGTTTAAGGTTACACAGTAATGAGTGGGCAATAGAGTCTGTATGGGTCCCAAGCCTTTGCTTCTCTCTATAGCATGCTACCTTTTGTGGGTGATCTCAGCTCCTGGTGAGCTCATCCATGACCACCACCTAAATGATGCTAATTCCTAAAAGACTCTCCACCTCAGATCTCTTTATTGATGGCCGATGAGACGAGTCTTCCAGTATGTCCCAGAGGCACTGCAGATTCTAAAGGATTCACATTGAATCATCACTTTCCATATGACTCCTTCTCTAGTCCCACTCTCAGTTCGTGGCTCCTCCCTCTCTCCCTCACCTCCCACATCCAATCAGATACCAGGACCCATCCCTTCTGTTTCTCGAATCTCTCTCCATTTGTCCCCTTCCTTTCTAGGCTTGTTGTCACTACATGGTTCAGGCCCTCGTTCTTTGATGCTGAATGCCTCTGCTCTGACTCATGACGAGCACCACCTAGGTGCTTGCACTGACTGTTGCATCAGGCTTACTCTCCCCTCTCCTCCTTCCCCACGTGGCTGCTTGAAGACTCAGCTTCAAGTCACTTTCTCAGGAAAGCCTTTCTTTTTTACCAGCCCCTTTCCTTTAGCTGAATTGCTCTCCTCCGTGCTCCCATAGAGCATCATGTTTACCATTTCACTCATCACAGAACCCTGATCATTGATTTTCTTGTTTGACTCCTTCCCTGGACTAAGAACTCTTTGAGGACAGGAATCACATCCAATTTATCTTTGTCTTTTTAGCATCTAACAGCTTCTCTCGGAGGGAGATCAATAAATACTCGAGGGGCGCCTGGCTGGCTCAGTCAGTGAAATGTCTGCCTTTGGCTCAGGTCATGTTCTTGGGGTTCTGGGATCAAGCCCCGCGTCGGGCTCCCTGCTCAGCGGGGAGTCTGCTGCTTCCTCTCCCTCTAGCCCCCACCCAACCCTCTGCTCTTGCTCTCTCTCTCTCTCGAATGAATAAATAAAATCTTTAAAAAAAAATGCTCAAGAGAATGAGTGAATGCACACTGTGGACACATTAGGCAGATCTGAAAGAGTTTTGATGTGTATAGCTTTGTAATATAGCCTGAAATGAACTGTGATCCCTCCAGCTTTGTTCTTTCTTAAGACCACTTTGGCTATCGGGGGTCTTTTGTGCTTCCATACCACATTTTAAGATTGTAAGTTCTATTTCTATGACAATTGCCATTGGAATTTTGATAGGATTGCATCAAATCTAAATTGCTCTGGGTAGCATGGACATTCTAAAAATGTTCATTCTTCCAGTCCATGAGCACAGAACATCTTTCCATTCCTTGCACCTTCAAGTTTGTTTCCTCAGTATCTTATAGTTCCAGTGTACAGAGCTTTCACCTCCTTGGTTATATTTATTCCTTGGTATTTTATTCTGGATCTGAAAGAGTTGTTCACATACTACTATAGTGTTCTGTGTGTTTACTTAGTCCTATTAAAATTCTAATGTAATTTCTATTAACTTGCATAGTGAAAATAATCGATGCTGATGTTATTTAGTTATACAATTTTTTTCCTTTCTCTTTGCCTAACATATGTTTTCACAGCAGCAGCTTCTTCCCTTATCCTGTTGACAAAAGATTATAACCTAATTGCATGATAATTTAAAACGTGGATTCTGGGTTGAACTTTGGTCTAAGGCGCCAAGGTTTTGTATTGACAGTAATGAATAAACTAATTTCTTAGAAGGTGCTTTGTTTATCTTTCCTCATTCCTGTCCATCAGTAGTGGCCACTACATTAAGAAAATACCTTGAGGTTGATTCTCTTACTTATTTTCATTTATTTATTTTTTTAAATAAAGATTTTATTTATTTATTTGACAGAGAGAGAGAGAGAGAGAGCACGAGCAGGGGCGGAGGGAGAGGGAGAAGCAGGCTCCCCGCAGAGCAGGGAACCCAATGCAGGACTTGATCCCAGGACCCTGGGATCATGACCTGAGCCGAAGGCAGACGCTTAACCAACTGAGCCACCCAGGTGCCCTTTATTTATTTATTTAATTTTTAAAAAGATTTTATTTATTTGAGAGAGAGAGAGTGAGAGAGCACGAGCTGGGTGAGGGGCAGAGGGAGAAGCAGACTCCCTGCTAAGCAGGGAGCCGAACACAGGGCTGGAGCCCAACACAGGGCTCGACCCCAGAGGCTTAACCAACTGAGCCCCCCAGGCACCCCAGGGTTGATTATGTTAGAATCTAAGCTACTATTACGTTTGAAGCTAGGCTCCTTGGGGGTGGTTATTAACATGTACCTTTTCACTTAACACAATTCAGGTCTCCTTCCAGCTCTGCCCTATCTGGTTCCAGCCAACCACTTAAATCTTCCTGGACATCAGGTTCCTTGTCCTGATTTTAAAAATTAGGCATTCGGACTAAACTAGCCAGAACAACTTTTCAGTCTCAAATGTCCTCTGATTCTATTCCTACCATCAGCACAATGTGTTCTTCAAGCACTTGGCTTTGACCTGGAGGTTTTCTTGAACATGGAGGGCTGAGAAGCAGCAGACTTGTGTTGTCTGGAATGGTGCCCACTGCCCCCTACTTCACTGGCATGCTCAGATCCCCCCACAAAGGACGAGGGAGCCCCTTCCTTTCAGGAAGCACATTCTTGACTGACATGTGCAAAAGTAGAGTGAGGTTGCAGAGCAGGCACGGGAAGACTCTTGGTCAGAGCAGTGCCATTTCTAAATTGCAGTGATTCAACAGATTTGGGACTGTGATTGGGACCTGGGAAGGGGGGGCAGCAGGTGGTGGGAGTGAGTTGGTTTTATCATCTGTTTTAAACATCACACACGTGAAGTGTCCAAGGTTTTGGAGTGAGGAAGGCACATCATAGCATACCCTACAGCCTCTGGATTATTGTGTGACCTTTTCTCGAACTGACTACAACCGGCTAGGTTACGGGGGTTCCCACATACATTTGTTGAGAAAGCACTTCAAACAAAATCACTGTGTCATCAAGGTGTGCCTTTATTTGTGGAGGTGAACGAAGACGGTCCTGCTTTGATTTGCCCATGTTCTAATTTTGTCAGTAGACGCAAAAGGACAAATCAGGTACAAGGTGTTTCTGATGAGACGTGCCCGGGAAGTGTTCCTATAAAAACTGTTCTGCCAGGGTGGGAAGGCAGGTTGCGGGGGGCGGGGGGGGTTCCTCAGAAGTGGGAGAGAGAGGGAAAGGTGTCCTAGCGGGAGACGTGCAGACAAGGAACAAGCCTTGAAGGCCAAGAGGGGCAGCGTCCCGGTCTGGGCAGGATGAAGGGCACTAAGGGCCGCCGCGGGACACCCTGCCCCGGATTTGGGCGGCAGGCGTCCCAGAAGGGCGAGAGGGAGCGGCGCTGAGCGGTGCGGCGAGCGCAGGAGGGCGGGCGAGCGGGCGCGCCGCTGCTCGGGGCTCGGCCAGGGTTCAAAGACCATCACCTGCGGCGGGAGTGCGACCCACATGGGAAGTAGGAAGTGCCGCGCCTGAGCTTCCTGTATAAATAACCGCGCGGCTCCCGGCGCTGCTGCCGGCGAGCTGCGCCCCACGCTCCGCGGGGCTCGGGGCGGCGCGGCCGCTTGCCGGGGCAGCGGGCGGTTGTCGGGCCTCCTCCTCGTCCTCCTCCCCCTCCCCCTCCCCTTCTTCCCCCTGCCGCCCGCCCCCGGGGCTGGGCGGCCGAGTCCCGCCGCAGCCCTGCGGAGTGCCGAGCGGCCGGCTGCAGAGCGCGGAGGACCGGGCGAGAATGACACGAACCCGCCTCCCCGGGGCGCGCGGCGGAGGCTGCTGAGAAGCCCGGCGGTGCCCGGACCCACGGGGCCCTCCTGCCAGGTAGGTTCAGCGAGCCCTCGAAACGCCGCACGCACGGCAAGGCAGGCTGGGTGCTGCACTGGGAAAAGGAAAGAAAAAAAGAAAGAAAGAAAGAAAAAAAAAACTAGGGACTATGATTCCCTGGTTCGGAGCTTTATTTCCTGCCTCCAGTGCTTAAACCGTACAGCGTGGAATTCATTCCGAATGCCTTAAACACCTGTTAGCTTTTAAAAATAGACGCCTCGGTCAAGGTAAAGAGAAACTAATTTCTAACAAAACAGTCTCTACAGAATGTACTGATTGGCAAATTCAAGAGGAGATCAGACCTCCCTGTGTCTTTCTTGAGGGGACACCAAAAGTTGGCGTAATCTCAGACGCTTACCTTCTGTTACTTTGGAAATGCACAGCACAATGTTGACATACATAGGTAGGCATAAGCTAGGATCTTGGCCATACATGATCGTATTTTGTCAGGTAATTACTGATAACACAGAGTGAAACTCTCATCCTACACTGCTGTTCTCAAGTTTAAGTTAAAATGAAACTGATTCAGTTTCAGCAGAGAAAAGGTATCTTGAGCTGACTTTTATTAGGGCACCTTTTTGCTTTTCTTATTAGTTTTGGGGATTCTGCTGTGAGTCTACTCCTGATGCATACACTTCTCACATTGAGATTTCTCAGAAATGAATTCTCCTGTCTGGGAAAATGCCCTCTTTCTTGCTGCCACTATTGTGTGGCACTTTATTTCTTGCTGCTGTACAGGTCTTACCAAACATTAGCTGGGGGTCCCCATAGGACTGTCTGTGTTTCTGTAATGCGGCATTTCTGGATGTTTATTTGAACACTGCAAGGTCTGAATTATAGAACAATGTATCTAACATTTCTGAAGCAGCAGATTGGTGGTGGTAGTGGTGGTGGTGGTAGGGGGGGTCCTAGGCCCAGAAGCAAAATAAATGAACTTAGAGATGACTCAGTTCTTAGGGTGTGGGTAGGAGGCCAAAGGAACCCAGCCAGTCTTCACTGAGTTGCTGGCCAATTAAAGTATCTGGCTGTTGCAGTTTTCATGGGATGAGCCTCCTGGTCCCTTTCGCATCTCACTGCTTTGGGGATCCCTCCTTCTCCAGACTCTGTCCTCCCTTCCCTTATGCAAAGAGCCTTAGTCCTGTTCATAAGTAGTGGCCCCTTAAGTATTTCTGAAACTCTCTTGAGGAAGAGGTGGAGGGGGCAAGAAAGATCTATGTAGCAGACCCACGGGCCACACTGAGATAATTGTGTTAAATCCAAGGCCACGTTGTCACACACCTCCTGTTTTTACCCTTGCACACCTGTGACTGGTCTTTTTTTCTTTGTGGTGGACGCACAGGTGGAAAAATAGGAAAGAGAAAAACCCTTCTGTTTCTAAAGTAGCCTCTGACTAATTGAAACTGTCTTGATGAGTAAACAGATACAAGGTAACTGTGTATAGAGAATGTAAGTATAAAAAAGATGTCAGAGTAGCAGAATCGGGCTGCTTGACTTTTTATTTAAAACAAACAGAAGAAAACAAACCTCCCCCTGCCAAAAAAACCCCAACGAATCACCCTAGATAACTTTCTCCCGCACTACTGTGCTGGAAGTGAGGTGTGAGTGTAGTCAAACACTGTCCATTTACCCAGAGTTTTACAAATATTTACAGCCATCTATGCCAAATATTTTTGCGCTGAGCCCCACAGAACATTCTCAGCATTCAAAAGCTCCATTCTCATGAATGGCTTCAGTTCATTGGCAATTTAAAGGCATCCAGACTTCCAAACTAGGTCAGTTTAAGACACGTCGTTTTTTGTGTGTGTGTGGTTTTTTTTTTTTTTTTAATAATTAGTTTTTGGGTCTCCCAGATTGTGAACCAGGTTTTCTGAGGCAAACTTGACAGCAGAGAGAAAAGTTATGCTCTGTCTAAAAAGAAAAAAAGCTTATTTCATCTATATAATAACCATTTAGCTTCCTGAAAACGATCTTTCTCTTCAACAATATGAGTCCTTTTAATCTGAGAAAGTATATTTAAATGTTTGTTTTTGAGAAGCAGTTTTAATATTTTAGGTATTTAGGAACATTTATTAGGACATCAGAGTCATTGCTCCGTGGTGTTTCTGCGAATTCTGGCTTCCGTGTTTCCCCTGGCCTTGACTTACAACATTACTTTCTCATTGAGTGAGGTTCTTCGTGTTTGAAATCACCAGTTTGAGGTAGAGGTCAGGAATCATGCTGAACCCAGATGTTGGTGGAGGAACAAAGTCCAAATAGTTTTGGGACTAAACCTGCTTTGTGCAACTGATTATTTTGGATATGGGGAAGGAGCCAAGATGCCACACAAATCATGCTTTCCACCTTGAGCTTTGGGGAGTAGGCATCTGCAGCCATTGCTCCTGAGTCCTGAGACTTTGTTTTCTAGGGATGCCCACCTGAATTTATAGAAGCTCCTTAGCTGTTGCAAATTATCAATATTTTTAGACTTTGATTTGCTGGAAGGGAATGCACATGAGAGTCAGGCCTTTAATATTCTCTCTCCTCCATGCGCTTGGAAAGAAATTATCCACTGTGGGATAGAGTGACTACTGACTATTTGCCAGGTGTGGGCTAGATGCTGAAGATAGAAAGATGGATAAGATACGCCCTCTGTCCTGAAGGAATTGGTGTAAGCTTGGAAGTGACATTGTTCTGGAGTGGCAGTTTTGTGTTTGTTTGTTTGTTTTTTTTTTTAAAGATTTTATTTATTGATTTGACATAGCGAGAGAGGGAACACAAGCAGGGGGAGTGGGAGAGGGAGAAGCAGGCTTCCCGCGGAGCAGAGAGCCTGATGTGGGGCTCGATCCCAGGACCCTGGGATCATGACCTGAGCTGAAGGCAGACGCTTAACGACTGAGCCACCCAGGCGCCCTGGAGTGGCAGTTTTTAATTCGTGTTGTTGTACCTGAGTATGTTAGAGGCTTTTCATCTTGGCATTTTTTGTTTTTTTTTTTGGATAATGTTTCCCATATGTCATCCAAGCATTAAGTAACTTGAAGGAGCATAACAGCACCAAAGTTAAGTTAATTATTTAAATTTTAATTTGCTTGTTCACCTTTAGGTATATGTGGGAGATTTTGTACTAATGTTCTATTTTTATTAACTTTGGCATTTGCATTTGCTCGGTCGATGTGTACTTCTAAACCCAAAGCATCACGCTGCAGTTTTAACAACACAGAAGACTAATATAATATATGAAAGAGAGAAGTGGCCAATGTTTTTGCAACACAGAATGAGACTTCTCGTATGTGACAAGACCTCCGTCCTTGAACTGAAAAACACAATGACTTCGGTGAAATATTCTCTTATCCACAGCTGGAGAGATTGCGGATCACATGGCTTGTAGCATCTGTTAAAGAACATACTCTGAAAGCCATGTCTTACTGGTTTCCAGTTCCTCTGCAGTCATGAGTTTGAGTCCCAGGCCTTTAATCAACTGGTTCTTTGTCTTTGGGGGAAGATAGAACAAGACATCTCTCATTTGTCTCTTTGCGGGACTTATGGCTGAAGCTGTAAACCCACAAATTGTCCTGTGTATTATTCTATATAAAACTATCTGTTAACAACCTCCTCCACTAGTTTACTCTTTGTAAGCTGGGACTGGGTTTAACTACCTTTACATCCCTAGCATCGAACATGCAGAATTCAGTTCTTTGTGGGTTGACTCGGTTTCCTACATTATTGATTTTTTAAGAAACTGATTTGGCAAAGGCGTACTAAAATACACATGCTGCCCCTTGTTTAGCGTGGGATGGAAGGGAGTCCTCTCCCAAACTGGTTTTAAATTTGTTTCTAATTAAAATTTCTGTATGAAACTTTTAACTTTCACAAGGCAGGGTAATATATACATGTGTTTTTATTCACTTGGAGAAAACATTTTGATTTAGCTATTTGTGCTTTAGCCACTATAGCTTCCTGGTAATGTGTTGACCCAAGAAATCAGCCCATCTCTTGCTCTATGGGGCTTTCTGAAATAACACTTCTCCTTGCTCTGTTAATTACATCATTGTCTGACCTGCCTTTAAGTGGCGTTCCTTCCTGCTTCTGAGCTTTGTTGTTATGCCAGGCAGGGGGAGGAAAATTATTCAGCAGGGCTGTATGAATAATTGTGGGAGGCAGGGGAACCATTGATTAAAAAACGGGGTGGGCAGGGCACAGTGGTGTCGAGGAGGGAGTTACCATGATGAATGTGAAATTACAATGCCAAAAATATCATTGAGCTCTTATTCTCATGTTCATTCCTACCTTCTTTGATAAGTTTTTATCGTTAGAAAAGCCGGGAATGGATTTTCTCCTCCTGGGCCTTTCCCTATAGTGGTAATGAGAACATGGAAGGAAGGCAAGAAAAAAGAAATGTACGTTTTAGAAGGATCAGCATTTTGCACATGTTAAAATTTGCCATCCCAGATGCCTGTACTCTGTAGGATTTAGAGAATTAGCTTTTCACAGTGTCATCCACTTCGTTGGCCATTATGTCCCCAAATCTTTCCACATATTTCTCCTATATATTTTGTAGGAAAAAAATAGAAAAATTAGATCTTATCATTCTTACCATAAAAAAAATTGTAAGTGTCTGAGGTGGTGGATGTGTTAACTAACCTTATCGTGGTGATCATTTTGAAACATGTATAGACAGATAGGAATATACCCACACATATGTATGATCATTCCATTGTATCCCTTAAACTTATACAATGTTGTATTTCAATTATACCTCAATAAAGCTGGAAGAAAATTAGATCTTATTAAAAGCTGTACCAGACTTTATACATAACCTAATTTCAAATAGCAAAGAGACTGTTTAGAAACAATACTTGCTAATATTTAAGAAGCTCCTCCTAGGAGATTATGCTAAGTGAAATAAGTCAAGCAGAGAAAGTCAATTTTCATATGGTTTCACTTATTTGTGGAACATAAGGAATAGCATGGAGGACATTAGGAGAAGGAAGGGAAAAATGAAGGGGGGGAAATTGGAGGGA